TTTGAATGCCTACTTAGTACAATATATATTGATATCTTTGGTTTTAGGAACTAATTCCCACACATCATTTCTTACAAATTGATTAAGTTCATCATGCATGGCATTAATCCAATGTTCATCATTTAATGCATCCTTAACAGATTTAGGTTCAATTTGTGAAATAAATGTCATATGGTTACATAATTGATTAAGAGAGTTTCTAGTGGATACTCCTTTATTGATTTGCCCAATCACATTGTCTAGAGAAAGATCTCTTGGAACAATCCAATTTTTAGGAAGCTCATTCAAGCAGTCTTCTTCCTGTTCTTCAACAATTTCCTCTGGTGAGTCAGTTTTTGTAAGGTCAATCACTTGATCACTTTCTTCAACAGGATTAGTAGTGCGATGTTCTCTATTTCTGGGAAGTTTTAACTGATAAAAATTATCAGCTAATTCGACATCATCTTCAGTACCTACTGGATTTCTCTGCAACACTTGAGGAGACTCATTAAAAACAACATGTATTGATTCTTCAACAGTTTTTAGTATTAAATTATAAATTCTATATGCATGACTGTTAGAAGAATAGTCAAGAAAGATCCCTTTATCAGATTTTTCATTAAACTTGCCAATATTTTCTTTCCCATTGTTTAAAACAAAACATTTACATCCAAAAACCCTAAAATAGTTTATGTTGGGTTTTCTTCCTTTGTAAAGTTCATATGGAGTTTTCTTAAGAATGGGTCTTATCAAAATTCAGAACATGACAAGTAGTGTTTACAGCATCTGCCCAAAAGTATTTAGGTAAAGAGTTTTCACAAAGCATTATTCTAGCAAGCTCCACAATGGATCTGTTCTTTCTTTCCACAACACCATTCTGTTGAGGAGTTCTTGGAGCAGAAAAGTTGTGTTTTATGCCATACTTTTAACAGAATAATTCAAACTTTTCATTTAAAAATTCTCCACCATTGTCACTTTGAATAGAGGTAATGAAATAACCTTTCTCATTTTGTAAAACCTTGGCAAGCTTTTTAAAAGATCTGAAAGAATCTGATTTGGCTTTTAAAAAAATAGTCCATGTAAATCTGAAAAAATCATCAACAATTACCATGATATAAAGATTACCACCTAGGCTTTTGTTTCTTGAAGGACTAACCAAATCTAAGTGGACCAGTTCCAAAGGTCTACAAGTAGAAACAATGTTTTTATTTGAAAAAGAGTTTCTAGTTTGTTTACCTTTTAAACAAGCTTCATACATTTTGTCTTTCAGGATTTAAAGCTTAGGCAGTCCAGAAACTAAATCTTTAGAAATTAATTTGTCAAGATGATTGAGATGAATATGTGCAAGCCTTCTATGTCATAACCAAGATTCTTCTTCTTTAGTAAGAAGAGAGCTTTGAGATGAGATATAATGTTTGATATCTAGCATGTAAATGTTGTTTAATCTCTTACAAACCAGCATTACCGTATCAGATTTTGGCTCACAGATTAGGCAAATTTCTGGTTTGAAGATAACCTTGTGACCAATATCACATAATTGGCTTATGCTGATTAAGTTGTGCTTGAGACCTTCAACAAAAAGAATATTGTGAATGGTCATGGTCTCACTATCTCCTATGTCTCCAAATCCTAAGATTCTTCCCTTGTTATTATCTACATATGTTACGTGACCTTCATTCTTCAATCTCAGCTTCTGAAATTTGGAAATATCACCTGTCATATGTCTTGAGCAGCCATTGTCCAAGTACCAAAGAGATTCTTGCTACTGTTCCTGAAAAAATCAAGCATCAAGTATTTGGTACCCTTAAATAATTTGGGTCCTTAATGGTCAAGTTTTGTGTTTGACATATTTGGGAACCCATCTCATTTTTCCCTGTGGCACAAGATGTTTTCTAATATGACAGAATTTTACAGTATGCCCTTTTTTCATACAATAGAAACAAGATGAGAAGGGAGATGATGTTGATTTTCTAAAGGAGAAGAAATTCAAATACCTTTTGGTTTTAACCCCAAACTTAGGTTTATAACCAATACCAGTATGATCAAAAACACGGTTTTGAGACCCAAGAAGTGCATCTAAATTTGCTTTACCTTGAGTGAATTTAGATAGAGTTTTAATCAAATACTCAACCTTTTCTTGTAGAGAGGTACACTTTTCACAATCTTTGTTAGCAGCACCATTATCATAAGATGAATTATTATAGATCATTTCAAGATGTTCCATATCTGTTTTGCATTCTAATAATTCTTCTTCCAGAACTTTAACCCTATTTTCTAACCAGTTATTTAGTCCTTTTAACCGATTATTTGTATAGGATAAATTTCATCATGCATTTCATTGAAAGCAGTTAACAATGTGTTATAATTCATTTCATTCTCTATGGGGGTTGAACTTACACGGGATGAAGAAGATTCATAGCCAGTCATTAAGCATAAATTCTCTTCTTCACTTTCAAATCCAGAACTTGAGGATGAATCATTGTCTTGTCAGACTATATAAGCATTCTTCCCTTTATACCTTATGTTTTTCTTGTTTTGAATCTTAGATTTTTCTGGACAGTCACTTCTTATATGTCCCTACTTACCACAAGAATAACAAGTATAAGTATATTGAAGGGAGTCAGGTCTTTTATCATTGTACCTTTTAATCTGACCAGTTCTATTCTTCTTCTTAAGAAATTTCTCAAACTTCTTAACCAACAAATTAAGATTCTCATATCCTTCTTCATCAGAATCACTACTTTCTTCAATTGTCTTAAGAACAATGTTTCTGCTTTTCTTTTCAGCATTTTCTTGTTCCTTAAACTTATTGATCTCCAACTCGTGTTCCCTTAGCTTACCAAACAGTGAGGCAGTAGTCATCTCAGTTAGGTCTTTTGATTTTGATATGGTTGTCACATTTGGTTGCCAAGATCTGTCCAAACATTTTAGGATCTTGATGTTTAACTCTTCCTTGTCAAACATCTTGCCTAATCCAATAAGGTGGTTAACTATATGTGTGAATCTTTTCTACACATCTGCAATGGTTTCACCTTGTTGCATCTTGAACTATTCATAATCTCTGATTAATTCATGTTTCCTTACCCTTTTCACATCAGAGGTACCTTCATGAGTAACTTCTAGAATCTCTCACATTTCTTTGGCAGAGGCGCATTGAGAAACCCTAAAAAACTCATCAAGATTTAAGGCAGAGGTAATAATGTTCTTAGCAATATAGTCATATTGAACTCTCCTATTTTTTGCATCAGTTAAGTTAGCCAAATCTTTTTCAATAATTTTACCATCCACTATATGAGTTGGTTTGAAAGGACCATTAACAATTGTATCCCAAATACCCCTATCAAGATATTCAATAAAGATTTTCATTCTAACCTTCCAGAAGGGATAATTCACACCACAAAATAGAGGAGGCCTGTTGATGGAGGCTCCTTCAGAAAAAAGTCATCTTTCCCTCAGCCATTTAAACTTTCTTGGACTGAATTCTTGAGTAACTTACAAGAACCAGCTCTGATACCAATTGTAAGAATTAATGGTTGAGTTCAAGAGGGGGGTGAATTGAACCTTGAAACCTTTTTCAATTAATGTTTTTCCTTTGAAAGAATGAGTAATCTTTATTCAATCTTTTATTAGGCAGATTTGATTTTTAACAAAGCAAGAATATAAAACAGGAATGAAAAGAGAAAAATGCAGAAATACAACACAAGAGGTTTTATACTGGTTCACTCTTGCAAAAGTTACACCCAGTTCTTGACAAACCTGTCAAGTTCCACTAAAAACAAGTGAAGATACAAACCAGTAGATACAAACCAATTTACCCCAAAATCTACCTTGCAACACCACAAGATAGACTCTTGAAAAAACCACCAAGCAACCAAACTCAGTCGTTATAACCAGTGCAGATTCAAACATAATCTACACAATCAAAATTCGTACAGAGTATTGAAAAGATAAACTTGGACAGTAGCTTTTGTAATACAGATGTTCAGAAACAAATTTTCTAACACAGAACTTCCTCTCTTGAAGATCTTTCAACAATCTTGATCAAAGCACCTTATGATATGAATATGTATGAATGCTCGGAGAAAAACAAGAATACCAGAGCTCAAAGATTTCTTTAATCGATTTTCAAATTGTGTGTTATAAAAGAGAAATCTAAACTGTATTTATAGAGAAAAAGAGAAAAACTGACAGTTTTAATCAATTAAAAATGATACTTTAATCGATTGATTTCATTTAAAACTATTTTAATCGGTTAATTCGAGCTTTTAATAGATTAAAACTGCTAGAAGAAAAAAATAGTAGCTCTCTATTTTAACATATTAAAACTCATTTTAACATATTAAAAAACCTGAGATACTCAAAACATGAATTATGACTTAGAACATTTTAATTTGTTGATTTGTCAATTTAACAGATTAATACTGCCAAACCCTTAACATGGAAAAACCATCAAGAACATTTTAATTTGTTGATTTTACGGCTTAATCAATTAAAATGTTGGTTGTACATATACATTTTCTATTTTAAGTGATTTTATCATATTAAAACTACTTTTTAACAGATTAAAAAAAAACTAAGTTTGTTCCTTCAAAGCTTAAAGGTGGTTTTTTATGAAGTATGATAAATTCTATGATATGCAACAGTTATAGGCGCTATCACAAGATATATTATAAGTATCAAGAGATTAAATTTTGTACATATCTACTCACACACACAAACGGAATAATGATACTTCATATGTCTTAATCAAATCCAACAAGTGTTTCAATAGGAACCACATTAATAACTTAGCTGAAAATAGGAAATAGCTAAATCACTAGCAACTAATAATAGATTCGAAACAAAACAAATTTACTTATTCAATCTGGAACAAATCTGAAAGCTTCATAAAATATGCAACTCTAAAGCCACGTTCTCAACAATTTTAATCAGATAACAGCACCAAAAACGTTAAAGAAATGCGTCTAAGTTTTATCCATCAACAAATGAACACTTGGTTCACACAATGCTATAACTAGAAGTCAAATTGATATGCTATTAGGTATTCCCCTTCCTGAGATTCCACTTGTTGAGGCAGAAGAACTAGCTGCATCAGGGAACAAAAGAGTGTACTCAATGTTTCCAGGGCCACGCCTATTTTTTAGCTTAGGATCCCTATTCCTTTGCATGATCCTTGATTGAATCTCCTTTAGTTCTTGTTTGAAATCAGCAAACCTATTTTGAATCACTTCATTGTCTATCCACCCTGGTGATTGCTGGCACCCCAAGTAGACCTCATCACAAGTGTGCCTTGAGAGAATATCCACCAATGCCACTGCAAGACTCATCTCAAACCTATTAGGAAGCATCTTGAGAAAAAACTTATCTGGGTCCTTGAGGAACTCACCAAACTCCACTGTCCCTTCTAGAGGAACAAATTTCCTGCATAGTGTGGGGCGGTTTGGAGGGTAGGCACTGTATGCGTATTGGCCGTAGTTTATAGATGCATGTTTGGCAGAAGCAATCCATATGAGGGTTGTTAGTGCCTCCACAAGGTTTGAGAGTGATGTCATTTGGTCCCACCATGTGTCATTGTGTTTGTCACCATGGCCTTGAGTTCTAATCTCTGACCACCAGGATTGGAGTTCAACATCACCCTCAATGGCCTCATTGTCTTTATAGAAGAATGAGCAAAAGTCTTGGACCCATTCTTTGATTGCTACCCATATTTCAAGTCCATCAGTGGCATAGGGATAGTCCAGCAACAGAAGTTGAATCCCTGTGGGGTTTTTCATGTCTGGATCTTTTACAGCCATGCCCCTGCAAAATTAGTTGTTGGATTAGCACATGCATGAAGGTGAAAGTAATGGAACCATTATATTTTCTCACCCGTATTAAACTATACACCCAGTTACTCCAATTCGATGTTTTAATCTATATATGAGAAAACTGTAAGTTTTTGTTCCTACATCATGCATAATAGTTAAGTTTTCGCCACAGTTTTGTTAACACCAAAGAAAACTTACTGGTAATGTAAAGTACAATATTTAATGGTGATAAACTGCTACAAAAAATAGTGAAGAGACAATGAGACAAGTAAAGGGACCCAGTGAATAGCTTAGCCTCTTTTACACATTTGTATGTTTCTCTTAGGTTAAATGAATCATTTGGATTTTATTGCTGTTATTTAAGAGTCCCTCTCTAAGAAAGTTCGAAAAAGTAGTGCAGCAAAATGGACCAATGTATACAAATAAGGACTAAATATGTTTTTGTTTTCCACAAGGTTTGATACTTATACAAGTGTCACTTACAGGGTGTTGTTAATTGAGATTTTACAACTATCATAATAAAATACTTAATGTTTCTTAAGTTTTCCGTGTTGCTTGCAAGATTGGTTAAAGTTTTCTTGTGTTTTAAAAAAAAAAAAAGCTAGATATAGATGCTCATAATGTCTACTCTTAACTTAGTCATAATGTTTTGCTTGCTCTGTCTAATTACGTTTCATAGTTTTTCTATTTAAACTCTTGCTATAAAATTACAAAGTACGCAAAATTTATGTGCAAAATTAGAACATTAAGTGATTAGTTTTGCTCCACCCTTATACCTCTTTTATCATTTGTTCTGTGGTTTAACAGGATGATATGATCAGTTTAACCTTTTGTTTTACATATCAATGTTTTTCTAATTTCAACCTTTGATTCTTGATGAAGGTTTGTGATGTACCTTTTGAGTAGATCAGCAGGGAGTCCTTGTTCATTGAATCTCCACTCTTTATAGAGATCACAAGAGATCTGCATACAGATTTCACCTGGAAACAATATTCTCTCCAGAATTCCTCCTGAGTTTATAAGGATGAGTCTTGCCAGGGCATTTATGTGCATGGTATCTTTGAAATGAGGATTCAACAACCTATGGATTGGATGCATAACACTTAGCCTTCTTTTGGTGGCAATGATAAATGGTTCAACAACTGCATGGGTGCATAACCTGCAAAAGTTTTCATAACATAACACTTAAATGGCAAAACAAACGTGATAATAGAATAAGTATATTACTTAATTTCTTTGTAGTTCATTATTTTCTCTCATAAAAATATATTTCTTCAGCATTTGAAGGAAAAATGTATCCACAACACACAAAGGATCTTTGTATTTAATTGACAGACTCAGGAAATATTCATTGGCCACTCGCGATTGTTCTTATGTCTAACGCAATCAACAAGAATTCTTGAAATTATTTGTAATTTTAAAATTTTAGTCATTTTAATAATATATGAAAGGATAACTATGCCTCCTAAATATAAAATAAATTCTGAGGTATTCTATTGATGCACATAAATTTAGACAACAGAAAAGAACAAGGAGTCCTAAAACATGATTATTCACTAAAATTCATTACAAACTTAACCTTATTACATCTATCCAAAGAAAATCTTATTCCTTTCTTTCTTCTCTCTATATCACATGATTTGATATTTTACAGGAGGTGATGCAAAAGAAAGTGTGCAGAAAATAATGTAAAACAAATTATTTTCAAGAATCTATGTAGAGTGAAAGTTGAGTTAGTGACTGTGACTGTAGAAATATTTCAACATACCAATGGCTAATTAGTTGATGATAAACAGCATCATTAGCTAAAACATGAGTTTTAGCAAGCTGCCAAAGTGCTGCTTGTGTTCCCTGCTTGGCTGGAAGAAAAACTCTATGGATTTCAAGGTGGGGAGATGGGCCTGGCAAGCTAAGTTCTATCGTCAATGGCTTAAGCATGCCATCACTCCTTAAAAATAGAAGAGTCCTTGATGCATAAGCACATACCCCATTTGCATTTATTCTGTTCAAATAAGGAATGAGATAGTCATGGTGGTCTAACATGAATATTCGTCCCTGCTCCATTGCCTGCACAATTTTGTAAGGAAAGATGACAAGAAATAAATAACACCCCCCTTGAAGAAAAAAGACCCTAAACTACTAGTCAGCCAAGATGTTTTAAATTCTTTTTCTATATTAACTACAATAAATATAATGAATAAAACTTACCTAAACTACTTTAGGTACTGTTTGTATTCTCCAATTAGATTTGGAGTTTTACCTCTGTAATCTGCTTAACAAATAGCTCCATTAAATATCATCAGGTATTACTAAGGTGAAAAACTTCAAATGTGATTGGAGAATAACACTAACCATATACCTACGTGACCAGTAGTATGTATGTTTCGTTCTGATACAACATGCATGAAAAAAGGTTAAAGCTGTGTTTGGATTGACAAAAAGGTATGGAGTGAAATAATACTATGTTTTTTATTTGTAGTAGTTTTATATTTAAAATAGGAAGGAATAGATTATAGAATTATACTATGTTTCATTCCATTCTACCTATTACACCTTGTGTTCTTCTCTAATTTAGAGGAATGGGATGGAATGATTATCAACATAAACCACATACTCTATTTCCTTATAGCATAAATAACACGAGATAACAAATCATCTCATCACGGCCTACACTTCAAATGATTGTTGTGGCACATATCTGAACCATGATACTTATTGTTCGAAAAGAGCTTAAGTCTTACAAGTTGCTTAATAATTATCTAGTTTCTAAGCTCATGAACGGTTAAAATAATGAAATAGGCATTGTGACTAAAACGTGAGGATTACAACTTGAATACTACTTACTATGGACCAAAAGAAGTAAGAAAAACAAGTTGATTTTCTCAATGTCAAAGTTTCAAGACTTTGGTTACTTGCCTGAGAAAGTGTCCATCCTTCTAGCTTCTGTTCTATGATTGATTGTTGTATTGAACTCTGTATTCCGAATTTGTTCTGAGGTGGGAATGTCTGAAAAGGAATATTGAAGTAAATAACAATTAGGCCAAAAATGTGGGTCTAAATATCATTTTGATTACACAACTACAGAACTAACAACCATTACACTAGCATAGTTACTGTAGTGGTGAACATGCTAAACCTGAAGTTAAACTCATGTCAGTGAGAAAACTGATGAGTATTGCATACAAAAGTTCTATATACTTTATTGGAAACTGTATACAATCTACAATTTTAGTACAACTTTAGCTGGTCTACACATGAGAAAAGGTCAGTTCATAGTAGTTGCCATTTGGCTTTACTATTTAGATTCAATAAATTTGTCTTTCTTCCTAGGAATATATTCACAATTGTGGCAGATTATTTTCAACAAAGTATACAATGTCATGAAACGGTTGTTTCAATTCGAACATGTCTTGAGCAAGTTGAGCAATGCTGTGCAACTATTTCAAAAGATATTAGAGAGTATTTTTTGTACATTGTCAATGTAAATTTTTTTACCGTGAAACAATAAAAATCACTCTAGATATTAAAAATCAGTCCAACTTTTAACAAAATTATAATGGAAAAACCTTTACACTGACTGAAATTCTAATTTCAGTTAAAGAGATTACATGTTTCCATTTAAGAAACAATGTTTAGCTTTTACTTATCTTCATGTCTATTGTCGATGCTTACCCTATGGTATCAACTCCAGTACATACATGATCCCTTTTTCTCCAGGAAGATAAAGGCAATATTAGAATCTCCCCACCCTAAGAATTGAATAGGCAAATTGGAACTTTCCAACGTTTTATACGTCATATAACATAGCAGATTGCTTCTAAATCCTAGTTCATAAGTGTTTAAAGTACCGTTAAGCATTGTATTCTGGTGGGGTGAGTTCCTGCAAGCATTTGTCTTCCAAACTCCATATCATCTTTCCAAGCCCATTCATTTTCTGAAAATCAAAATATCTCCAAAAACAAAGTCATGAAACAATTTCCTAATGTGTTACCTTTTCCATCTGAGATTTATGTACTGTACAACTTATCTCCTAAACATACTGACATTGTAACCAACTTACTGAAATATTTATATACAAATAAATGGTATCAAGATTTCTTACCGGATATGATTTGAGGGATAGGTAGTTCCTTGTTTGGAATAGTTATTTCCTTTATGTAATCAAGAGGTATCAGTTTCTTTAAGTAGTCTCTCATCCATCCCTCCATTCTTTGGCTCCTATTGCTAGAAAACATGTCAAGTAACTCTTGGAATGATTGAAAGTTTGCAGACTTTCGCCGTGGTAAAAATTCTGCCTTTGGTGGTAAAAAATGTACCATAGCATTGACACAGTTTGATTTCAACTCCTTCAATTTAGTGGGGCCAAATCTCTCATCTGATGGAACATATATGCTAAAGTTCATTGGTTGTGGCCGGCTCTCACTTGATGGACCTAAATTTTCCATAGACACATGAAAATAGGAATGAGAATCAACATAAAAAGCTGTTAGTCTATATTGCAGACACAATGTAACACATACCCTTTAATTTCTAAGGACTATATTCTTACTTAGGTTCATTTTCCACTGAGGTCCTCAATGCAAGCCAAAAGGTATCGAAGTAGATAATGAAACTTTAAATGTTATGACTGGTCTGTTAACAAACAGATTTTCTAAAGATTTTACTCCTTTAAAGTGATGTGTGTAAAGTAAGAAAGTAAGGGTGCATCCACCATTGATTCAACAGTACCTTGTAAAACTTAACCAACCTTAAACCATGCTATCAAGCTGCAATTCCAATGGTTCATGCCAATTTAGATTTCTTCCGTGAACTAAATTCAAGGGGAAAGTAAAGTAAGTACCTTCTGCACTATGTTTTCGACCTGTTCTTCCTCTACGAGGATATGGAAACAACCTTGAGCCACCAAGAACTGGTCTATGGTGCTCAGGACCTTTGTCAGCATCACCAAGATCATTATAGCAGTCATAGTCATAGATTCTATCCCATTCCTTTCTTTCTCCCATTCCATTACCCCTCAATCTATCAAGCTCTTCCTTTCTTAGTTCCACTAATGCTCTTGGTGTCTGACTTGGAAGACAGCACTGTCATAATCACATAATTATTCACTTTCATGTAACATAAACTTGTCAGTAAAACAGGAAAATAAACTAATCTTTTAGTCCTACAAGTGACACTCATTTCAGAATCTTTCCCTGAAAAACTATGTTTTAGTCCCTACAGGACTCCTTTTTGGACACTACAAATTAAGAAACTTAGCACTTATATGGACAAAATTCTCTATAAACACTTCTAGAATAAAAAACAAAAAATGAAATGTAACTTATGCACAAACTAAGAATAAGAATTTAAAGAAAATATGAGTGAGTTTCTACGAATTAGATTACACAAAAGCTAATTTTAACTTACAAAGAAACTTATTTCATATTTTCTTGTCTTTCTTTCCTAAAGTGTCTACTGTCGAATTGATTATCTTCTTAACTTTTGGTTTTAAAAACTGTTACTGAAACACCTCCACACTATTTTCTCTTGTTCTTCTGTTTTCGTCTTGTTCAGTCTCTTCCTCAACTCCATACCCTGCTTTGTGCCTTACAACTTCCACCAACTGTCTAGCCACCTTTTTTAGTAACATGTTGAATACTAAAAAAACAATATTGAAAATATAAATCAAAAACAACCTTAGTATAAGGACAAAAGCTCAAGGTCTTTCATATAGGGACTAGTTTCTACATAGTGTCACTTATATGATCCAAATGACAAGAAAATAATACAGAACATACTCTATTTGAGAAGAAGAGTCTATCAGATTTGGTCTTCTTTATTGGATATATCCATGAATTGATGTCATAGTGAATGATGCGGCTGTTAGAAGTCTCAAGAGATGCAGACTGAAGGAAGAACTTTTTCTTGTACTGATTTTGAAGAGAAAAAGCTCTTGGAGTTCCAAAATGTGAGTCAACATGTATCTTAATTTTATATATAATGGTTTGTGCATCATGGCTATGTTTCATGCTCTCACCTTGTTTGAAATATGCTTTCTCACTCAATTTCCCTTTACCAGTCTCTGTCCAATGAAACACAAAGTTGGAAACATAACATGTTCCCTTTATTAAAACATACATGCAATTTAAACAAGTTCTTCTAAAGAAAAAACAGTTTAAAGTTCTAATTATCATCAAGTTTTTATTTGTTTTCTTACTAATAACTTATAATCTAGTATTCATGTTTTTCATGTATAGCCCCTCTCATCATCTCTGATTTGTTTATACATTTTTTGTCTTCGTAAATATCATGAAGTTCTCATTTTTTTACCTTCATTTTTGGAGTAATACTTGCTTATTTCCAAAACTCTTTCCTAAACACTATTTCAAGTGAAAAAGATTATGTATAGAAGGTGCACTTACCAGGATCAACATCAGTCCCACTATAAATCTGAACAGAAATTAATTTTCCAGGTATTGATTTGCTTTGGTTGTGTATGATCACGAACTTCCCCTTGAGAGTTAATTGTTGGGTAGCTTGGCATATAGGATTTAAGTTATTCACAATTCTGGTTGTGACTGAAGAAGAGTGCCATTTGGGCACACTACTTGAACCCTTTTTTGGCATTTCATCCATACTCATACTTTTTCTTCCTCTTTATCTCTAACAAAAATCTGCAATAATAGCATTTGTGTTAGCCATAGTAATCAAATGTTGGTGCTAGTTTGTTTGTGTTCTAATACTTGCCTTCTTGTTAGTAACATAGCATCTGATGCGTTACGTGTCTTGACCATGGGTTTTCTTGTGACCATGACAATGGCACCAACAAGTTTCTTGGAAATTATTTTCTACTTAGGAGTTGGTAAAGGTATAATAGTAGATGAAATTCCACTGTTTTTATTCGTTACATTGGAATCAAAATTTACTGTCAATTTTCTTTTTGTTTTTCATAAACATTCATCACATTGTTAACATTTTTTTTTTCTCTCCATAAATAGTTATTATATATTAATTTTTTTAATGGAAAACTCGAACCCAATAATCCTTTTTAATATATAAACTTCATCCGAAAACTGATAACCAAGAACTAATTTACTCACAAATATTATATAACATCTGTCTAGTTTAATATTAATGTCAAATTACTGAAGTAAACGCATAATACAGGTATGATATCTGTGTGAATACACTAGAAATTATTATTGTTATTATTATTAAATAAGTAGAAAGAAAATCAGAAGCATTGTTCCTCCATCTTCTCTTTTCCCTCTCATATTGGCAATCCAGCCAGAAAGCGTTTGTAAAAGTCCAATGCCTCTCGAGGTTTATATTCCGGAACAGTATGCCCAGATCCCTGTACAAAAGAAACCAAATAATTCTCATTATAGTTTAGTGTTTTCGATGGACTAATACCAGAAAATTCTTAGAACACAAACAACTTATATTTTAAGATACGGTGTTTCTCCGTTTTTCCTTTATAAGTTACTCAATTTTCTATTGTTATTCAACTTTAACTCATTTGGATTCTTAATAAATATATCCTAAAACAAATTTCAGGCATCATAAGCATGGTTAAGGTTAACCTCTCTTTACGTCTCACTCTCTTATTTTATATGTTATGTATATACAAACCTTTATGGTCAGAAAAGTAAGATTCTTGTCATATCCTTGTGTATACCTGCAACCAATAAACATAATAAATTAAAAGTTTGATATTTTATACATTTTGAAGATGTATTTATAGGTCATCTACTCTTGATTAAACATGGCTTTTGATTGCTGTACTTTTACAATGATAAGTTTTGCCTCCATTTATGCTTCAAAATACTTTTAAGATTTATCAAGTAGAGATAAGATGATAAGGAAATGGAAGAAGGAATACCCAGCAACTTGACCATTGGAAGACCATGGCCTCCACTCATCAACAATCTTGTATCCAATCGAACTTGTCCATGCCTGACTCCCCGTAAATGGAACGCACATGTCATGATCACCACTGCCACAAAAATCAAACTTTTCAATTTTCTACAAATTAATACCATAAGAGGATGCATTACCTGAAGCAACTACCACCAACATAACATTAACAACAAGTATCTGGAAACTCACCTGAATATAAGTGCTCTATAACCTTTGGAAGTTAAGTTCTTGTGGTACTTTATCATGCTCCCAGCATCATGATAAAACCTAAGTCTGTTTGTGCATAGTTCCCAACTACTGACTACACTTTTCTGTTTCATAAGAAATATCAGAATTTAGTGTTTTCATAGCCAAAGTAAACTATTCTTGGTAGAAACCTCACCTTTGCAGCATGAATTGCTGTCCTTACTGCTTCATTGTTCAACCATGCGTTTGCAACCTCATCATCCTAAAGATAACACTACATCATGTTACTTGCTACACATTCAATGAATAGGTAGTACAGTAAAAATGATGACTTTGACAATAATATACTGTCCCTTCAAGTGGGCAATATTTGTCACAGAGCTTGTTTGTTTCTTCTAAACCAAATTACACAAATGACAAGGATAAAAAAAAAATGTCATATATTTATAATAGCTTTGATTTTTTTAGTAGGCAATGAAATACAAGTTCAAAGTCAAAATACCTCAATAGTATTGATTGTTTTGGCAGTAAGGAATCTAGAGTTTTGAGGTGTATACAAGTAGAAGATGAATGGTAAATATAGTTAGATAGTAGTGATGTAACCTACCGTGCACGGTGGAGCGCTTTGTAAATTCATAAGCTGTGGCCAAGTTGGTACAATTCCATCTCTGACAGGTGCTCTTAGGGGCCAAGCACGACCGAACATTCTTTTCCTCACCGGAAAAGGTTTGTCAGTCTCACCCAACTTCCGGAAGCTAGATGGCAACCTGATATAGGATTCTGTAATCTTCACTGCCTCTGTGCCATGATAGCATGGTTCTAGGATGTTGTAGACGTTTATCCCATCAACCAACTAAAACAGCACAATCATCAATGAGTTCCAAATTCTCTTAGCTCATTTCTTGCCAGTAATTTATGGATAGTTAAATCACCTCATCAACTTTTGCAAGCTTGATAGCACAACTTTCACTTGTTGGAATATAAAAACTCCCATTGCACTCACTTTTAACCTCCTGCAGCAGCAAACATATTTAGATGACAACAAAGCTGACATGCTTTCAAACAGAAAGTGGAAACGATTTTATATAACTTTTAAAACGAAGACCAAGCAATTTCTATAACGGTCCACTAAGATGATGAAATAATGATGAGTTACTAGGTGACCTTGCTATAATGAGGGGTTAATTTTCACCTCAAACAGGTCATCTGAGATTAGTCCCATCCCATGTACAAATGGAACAAGAGCATTGCCATCAATTTCTTCATCTGTGACACCATTTCCAACCATGTAACCCTGCACACAATGATCATGAGATTGCAGCCACAGGTTTGAAAACATAAATTGATCAGTTAAAGATCAAGACCTTGAAATTTAGTTTGGGCTGCACACCAGCATCAATTCCTGTGGAAGATCAAGAAACTGCATCTTATTTCTGAGTCTAGCATTCAACACTTTAAGAACACAACTTACTACTACCTTTTACAACTTCAGAAGCAAGAGTAGGCACATAAACTCCTGCATAGGACTCTCCAGAAATGAAGAACGGGTTGGAAAGGAACTCAGGGTATAGTTGAAACCACTGATTTGTTAAAACAAAAAAGATTATATATGTAAGAACATTGTGATGAACACAAACTTCTTGATTCAAATATTTACTCAGTAACTCCCAGTTGTTTCCTTAATCACCTTAAGGAGAAACGCATGTGAATCAGAGGCTGTCTTTAGATCTCCAGTTTTGTAATCAGTTTCATTCTTTGAGTATGAGAGCCCCACACCAGCAGGAGAATCCAAATATATAATATTGGAAACCTACAATGCAAAACAGAATTACATACAAATTGATACAAGAAAAAACAACCACTGATTGATTGATGAATTACACAGACACCGAAACCAAAATATAACTATAACACAATAAACCATCATCCTTCCCCCTCTAAATTCAACACTGTTTAAAAAGTTCAGACCTTTGACCAACTGTATGGATTGAGGTGGAGTGTGGGAAGATCCCCCTTTGTCTTTGCTGCCTCAAAATTAAAAGGACCTGAAAAGACATAATCAATTGTCACATGATCCATAAAGTGAACTCATAGGCAACAAGCCATCAAATCTAATTAGAAAAAAGTGTATTGAGTACAAGCTAATCATGAAGAAAATGGTAATTTTCTTGATTTCCTCAAGTATCTTTCTTCAGAGATAATAGTCTCTGAAACACAGTCAGACATTAAATGTGAGACCTCTCCAGGAAAGGATTCAAAACCATGGTTCACTACGCCCAACTACCATTGTTATGAAGAAAACACTACAATATGAATTATTTGTAAACCATTTCTGGGTCACAATTACTAATGTTCATCCTAAACTCTGTCAAAAGAAAACAGGGCAGTGTAGAAAGTGAACAATTAATTACCATGCTCATATACGAATCCATCAAAGCTAGAGCAGCCGGGTCCACCATTAAGCCACAGAACCACAGGGTCCTCAGAAGGTTTACCCTCTGATTCAACGAAATAGTAAAACAAGTTCTTCCCATGACTCTCATCCACTGTCACATACCTTCAACAACCCAAAACATTTCAAAATAAAGGTCTACAATAATTTCTCAAGGATCAACATTTCAAAAAACAAAATGACAAATTGTTCATAGAAAATATCAGTCCCCACCCAGCATAGTGCTTGGAAGGTAGAGTCCCGCTGAAACCAGGAACCTGTGTGACAATGGCACCTTCAGGTGCTGATTGTGTTGACACAAAACACAAGAAAATATGAAGTAAGACCAAACACAAGCACACGGTGCAACAAGACTTGACCATCCTGTTGTTAGTCAGATAAGAGAAAACAAGAACAATAAGAATATCAGAACAGATATTTATCAATTATCATAAGCAGCAAGGTGTGAGGCCCAATTTATACGAGAGTATTATATGAAAAAGTGATGGCCCACTTCCATAATTGCACATTTTTTATTGCAAGTTGCAAAACGTGTGCACTTGAGTTACCTTAGAAGCCAAGAGAGTAGTTACTGATATAATGACTATGAGAGATAAGAGAGATGACCCAATAGGGGTAGATGCTTAACTGAATTATGAAGATAAGGAAACTGAATTTTCTAAGTATGGTTGATGATGGAGTCTATGGTTGTTAAGTATGCTGAAGAAGTGTTTGAGTTTCAGGCAGTTGAAGGTTCCATGAAGGCTATATATAGTTGAAAGAAATGTGTCAAGATAGGATTTGGATTGCTGCAGAAATTCCTTTCTTTATATTAAGCATTGGATCAGGGAAATGGTTAAAGAAACACAAGTCAATGGTCTTTGTTGAAAAATTAAATATTTAATTTTACCTTTTAGGCTTTATATTTTAAGATTATCATTTCCATTTAGTGTAATTTTTATTAAAATATTCTATTTGTCTCCCTAACAATTTCTTTTATTACTGAATATTTTTTTGAAAATGAGTTGAGAATCGAATTAAAAATTCCTCCATTATTTGTAAATAATTGAATTTTAATTAAATTAAGACTAATCTAAACAAATTAAAATAAAATGAAAAAAATTGACTAAATTTTTTATCGAACCAATTTTAATAATAAAATGATATTTAGAATCAAATTTTTTTAATATAATTTTTTATAAAAAAATATAATATATTTTAATTTTTTAATTTTATATTAATTATATCAATTTTAAACAATAATTATTTTAATGTATTTTTATTTTATTTTAATAATTATTTATTTAAAAAAAAAACTATTATATTTATAATTATTTTAAATTTATAACTTATTTTATTTATAATAATATTTTTTATTATTTTATTTTATTTTTTAAAAATATTATTATTAATAAATTTATTATATTATAAAAATATTATTTTATTAAATCTGATTTAACCGTGAGTCGTATCAGTTTTAAAAACATTATTATTTGAATGATATAAATATTATTTTTATATAGTAATGAGTGAGTTTTTATATTAATTTTTGTAATTTTTTATATTTTTTTCATTTTTCAAAAAATGTAAATACTTTTGGTGAGACATAGAAGGTCAAGTGAGTATAAAGTCACCACGTATGTCTCGTGTACCTACCACTAGAGGAAAACAACGTGTGTGAGAAATTTTTTTTTTTTATCTTAAATATATTGAAAATATGACTATCTTCACAAGAAAAACAAAAATAACATGATACATAACAAAAAACGAAAAAAACCTGATCCATCACTTCTATGGATGAATCACTCTATTAATGTATAATATATTAAGTAGACCTAAAAATATATAAAGAGTATACGAGTATCACAGCATTAAAATTTGTCAAAATTTGGTATAAAAAAAATCATATTTTACTATAATTTGACAATTTTTTTTTACCGTTAACCTAATTCAAATCCTGAAACACTTATACTTAAACCATAAATTGAGGTGGTCATATTAGTGATATGAAGTTTCTTGTCTTGTAAATTTATTATTATAATTTAGAGATAAAAAGAATACAAACAAAAGAAAAAGAAAAATAGTTTATTTAAATCAATATTAAAATTTAATTACTTTATAAAATGAAATATTATTTTAATTTTTACAAAAGAATAAATAAATGTTGAATTATTGACAAGCGTACCAAAATTATCAATCGTAATATAATATTTCGATTAAATAAAAGTCGATCCCACAAACAATTTCAATAGAAATTCTCAATTATATGCTTACTAAATAGATTAAAACAAAGTAGGTTTTGCATAAAGAGTTGAATTGAAATTAAACGATAAATAATTGTAAATTATTTAGAAAATATCAATTAAAGGCACTTAGGATTGGTTTCATTCCTTATCCTTCTTTTGCAATGGCTACGTCAATTAAGAACATCAATTAACCTAACAATGTTGATGTCACCTACTCAAATCATCCATGTTGATTTCTCACACATGAAATTCATAAGAAAATCTAATAAATGTTGATTTCACACACAATTAAGAGATTTTCCAATATTAGGATTAGGGTGTTAAGCAATTGATACATTCATTCTATTCCTGGCAATTAACGTAACAAATATTCTTATTGTGATCTAGGGTTCGAGATATATTTTTCAATCATACCCCAAACATCAAGAATAAATCATTCCAAAGCACAAAAGATAAGAATAACAACATCAAAACATAAATTAATATCTCAAAATATCAGCATGATACAAAAGAGTTCAAAGGAAGTGTGCCAAATCCCAAGAGAATGAAGTTAGCCACTCATGGTGGCCATTACAATGCTCCAAATGTGGAAGAAGTGAAAAATTGATGAAGATTAGATGAAACCCTAGCAGTAGTTGCGCCTTTTCTCCCCAAAACCACTTACTTTTCTCAAAACACATCTTATCTTTTTATAGGAAAAATTGGGTCTTGCGTCTTTCACTCAAGCGAAAGTTCCCTATTTTCGCTCAAGCGACAAAGTGCTCGCTTGAGTGAGTGAGTTTCAGAGAAGAATAACTAATTTTCGCTCAAGCGAAATTAATGGCACTTGAGTGACTGACTTCCAGAGAGTTTTAACTAATATTCGCTCAAGCGAGAGTCTATCTCGCTCGAGCGACTTCCATGCTGAAAATCTTCTTCCTCCTTTCAATTTTGTTCCAATTATGTTGACAATTATGCTCCTTACTCTTGTATCAAGGTATTCTCGAATTCATCCTACATTGGGAGAAAAATATATTAGAACTGACACAAGTTAAGTGATTTCATACAATTAAAAGCCTAATTATATCAATTTTTTACCACTTAACAACTCCCCACAACCTAGAATCTTGCTTGTTCCAAGCAAAGTATTTTCCAAAACAAAATCATCACCTATTATCACTTTCTCTTCCAGAACCACAACATAAAAATAACTTTTCTTCTAGATGCGATGCTCACAACTCCAAATGAAAATAGAATACATAAGCATTCAAGTTACAGAAACTAACAAAGGAAAATTAATCATCAATTATTCTCATAGAAGCATGATCTCTCACATAGAGTGATATATAGTCATCTCTAACTCTCAAGGGAAAGTATTTATCTCATTCAATCACTTCATTTAAATAATACAATATTGATAGTCATCTTCAAATAATCAGCAATTGTTAAACAAGACTTAAATCAAAAAGTCTTTTGAGGCTTGTAATGGGGCTGGGCTAAGAAAAAATCATTAGTTTTTCTGGAATATTCAAAAGTATTTGAGAAATTCAATTCATATGAATGATTCTTATTTAACATTTCCTCAAGTCGGGTCTCACCTTCATGTTTTTGCTCCAACACAATGATAGTGAGTTAACAATCTCACAAGTTATCATTCACCCCCCCCCCCTTGAATTTCTTTTTCATTTTCTCATGTTTTGCATTTATCATTTCAGCTTAGCCACAATATTTATGTTTTTCTTTTCCTTTTTCTTAACATCCTTTTTTTTAACAATAACAATACCCAACAATACCCTTAGGAAGACTATAGCAATACCCAACAATACCTGTAGGAAAAATGATAACATTCATAATCATTTTCTTTCTCAAATATAAGAAGGTGGATAAATATTATTTAGGCTCAGGGGTTCTGTTTAATAAACAATCTTGTTTTTTGCTCAAATGGGGTTCAAATGGATGTCCTATAATAAATGCAGGGTTCGCTATTTGGCTCTGGGTTATATCTACTACACAAGAAAAAAATGTCTTTATCATTTTCAAGTCTCACTAACATGCAATCACATCAAAGAATCAATCAATACCAATTATCATCATAAAGTGTTGACACTCAATTTATCTATTTTTAATTCACTCCTCGCTTGGGTTTTGGCTAGCTTCTCCAATTCAGTTAATTCCTAGTTCTCCCCATTAATTCCTTTTTCACTATCATACTCAACATCCCAAAATCACTTGTTATTGGAAACATTCAAAATGGTTTTTTTCAAGTTCCAGATTTGAATTAGACAATAAGCAATAATTTCATAAATGACTCTAATCCAAATTGTATGGGACAACAATTAAATTTAATCACATCAATTTAAAACATTAACCACGTTAAGTTTCAGATGTCAATTCCAAACATTAAAACCAAATAAATTAAAACAACTTAAAAACAAAGAACTTCAAAACATCAAATTAACAAGACTAACTTAAACACATCAAAATAAAAAAATTTAACTTGGATTAAATTTTTTTTCTCCCTCTTATTCTTCTTCACTTTCTACTTCTTCTGAAGTTTCTTTCTCCTCTTGTTGTGCTTCAGCTGCACCTTCACCCCCTCCCTGAAAATTTAGACTGTCCCCAGGCTATTAGAGTAAGACATCAAATTCTTGTGGAGATTTCCACTGCATACCTAGAGTAATTTGCAAAGACAGATTATAAAAATTTGTATTAATACTGCATTGACCCCTATGAGTCGCTGACTATTACAATGATAAATGCTCCATATACTGCATCATTCTTTGAAAATCTGGTTGCTGAGGTGGTGGAGGTGGTTGTCGGGCTCGTCGTGGTTGGTGTGGTTCTTGTGCCAGTGGTGGTGGTGCCCCTTCTACAGGATTTACACAATTCTGCTCTATGAATCTTCTGTTGATAGGCGGTCGGATGTTCACTGACGGGTTTACATCCACACCGTGAGCTGCACATAAAGTTGTGATAAGGGTCGGAAATCCAAGAGTCTTGGCTTACTCTGCTCGTCGCCCGCTTTCTAGCACTACAAACTGATAAATCTCCTCGAAGATAATTGTGGCGACATCTATCATAGTCTCATCAAGAATGCACTTGATAATGTGACATCTTGGCATGTTTAGATCTGAATTGTGCTTGATGGGGACTATGTT